AGCCCTCTCAGGGACCAGGGGGGTGGTATCTCTCTGCATGCCTGCCTGGGGTGCAGAAAGGGCTGCTTCTCAGTCCTGGCCTTTCCCCCGCGACCTGACCCAGCCATATGATCCCAGGCGGGGATGGGTGGCATCCGTGGCATCAGTGTCGGGCAGGAGGAGCATCCGGGGCCCTGGGGGTGCAGCTGTGGTGGCCCGCCTTTCCCTCACCGTGGGAGGCCCAGGGCCCTTTTGTGGGGGGTGGGTGCAAGGGGGGGCATCTGAAGGTGGAGTTCATGGGGGATCGGCCGCCAGGGTGCCCACCCTTAGCTTTCCCTTGGCCAGGCCTTGCTCTGCTGTTTTGACCTTGAGCAAAATTCGCCCTTGGCTCTCCTCCTGCATCCCAGAAGCTCCTTGGGAGGCATCGCCCTCAGCTGCAGAGATGATGTGCAAAGTGAACCTGCATTCCCACACCGGTCAGGGTGGAGGGAGAAGGTTGGCAGGGTTTGGGGGGTGGGTGAGAGCAAAGCAGCGTCTCCTTCAGACTCCTTGGTACCAAGAACACCCGTTTGCCCCTCGTGGTGCCATTCCTCATCCTCCTCTTCCCATCGTGAGTGCCCTTTTCCCTGCCGTTCTGTGAGCTGTGTGTGGGGTGCTTAATTCTGAGGGGGGGTGTATGAGGGGATGATGCCGCTGGGGAGCTGGTAGGCTCTTGCTGAAACAAGGGCAGCACCAAGGGGGGGGAGGGGGCTTGGCTGGGAGACCCCCCTGCCTTCTCCCATCCTGGTGGCGTGTGCGAGGAGAACCTTTCCTGGACCAGCCGTTTGGCCGACACCACAGAGCTCTTAAGCAAGTGAGGACAGAAGGATTCGGCCGTCTGTCCTGCACCAGCTCAGTCCCGTGGCTTTTGTGAGCTCTGTCGGGTCACCAAGGCCGCTTTCTCCGTGAGAGGCCACGGCCTCCCCTTGCCACAGAGAGGGCCGTGGTCGAGAAATGGTTGCTCCTTCTCTCTTCCAGGGAAAGAGGTGCCACGTCAGAGCCTCACTGCCTTGAACCCTTTCCCCTGCCCTTCTGTAGGGCAAAACTGCCCGCGGAGGCACGAGAGCCGTGTGGCCTGATGGTGGGTGTTGTGTCCCATACAGCACTCACAGGGGTCCAAGCCCAGGGAGCGACTGGGGCGCAGGTTTTCCTGGCGGTTCTGCAGAGCGCTTGGTGAACTCATGTGGGGACTCAGCTCTGCAGCTCTTTCTTGCTCAACCGAAGCCAGGGAGCAAACGGAAAGCGAGGGCGCGACTAGACCGCACAGCCATCCTGGGGCTGAGGACACGGGGCTCAACGTGAAAAAGAGGCCTGGGATTTAGAACCAGGCTTGCACCCACCACATACAAGGATGGGGTTCGGGGGGCTCCTCCAGCACAGGAGGCCACACTGCATATCTGAGGACCCCCTTTTTTTGGCGGTTCCTGCCTCTGAGCCTCCAGGCCCCCTCCGTCCGTTCCTCTCTCTCCCTCTCCAGGGAGTGGGGGAAAGCTGGCTCTCCCACCCCAATGATTGATGAGTGACATATCATTGCACTGGCTTGCCCCAGAAGTGAAACCGGCACTGAGTTGTAAAGGTGTGTGTGTGTGATTGCCCCCCCCATCCTGCCACCCCCCCTTCTATGGGGAGCAGGGAAAAGATGGATTTATATGGGACACAGAGATGCTCATGTGGACCATGTTCCTGCAGTTTGGGGGTTGCGTGTGGCCAATACCAAGGAGATGCACCCAGCCCCAACAGTTTCCAGGCACCTTCACTGAGAGAAAAAAGGGAAAGTGGGGGCTGTTGAAGAAAAATTGGGGGGAAGGGGAAGCTGTGCTCCTGCTGTGCTTTGTGCCCCCCCAGTGAAGCCATGCTGGGGGTGGGTGGGTGCTCCCGCCTTCCTCCTGCTTTGGGGAGAATGGACAGGCCTTTATTCCTTCCCCCTTCTTACTGCAGGAGCATGACATTGAGACCCCCTATGGGCTGCTGCACGTGGTCATCCGGGGGTCTCCGAAAGGAAATCGCCCGGCCCTCTTGACGTACCACGATGTGGGACTCAACTGTAAGTGCACTGCTTTTTATTCATTCTGGGCAGGGAGGGCAAGGGTTAACTCATCGCTGGTGCAAACCATCACCCACCCACCCCGTTCCTACCCATTGCTATCGATTTGGTATCCCCTGTGGGATTGTTGCTTTCGAGACTGGGAAAAAAGGGGGGGAATGAACAGAGTCAGATCTTGGGGGGCAGGAGGTGCCCTGCCAGCCGGCCATCTGGAGGGTTTGAACCTTGGCAGTGCCGAGGGGTAGGGGTGGTGGCGGCGGCGGTGGAATGGGTGGTGGGGCGATGTGACCTTTTGCGCACCACGTGCGAGATCCCCTGAGGCCGCAGAGAGCAGACAACCTCTGGAGGCCTGAAGTGAACAAAGACGCAGAACAGCTGGGAGAAGTTTCACTGGATCAGCCGGGAGTTTGAAGAGAACATGGATATGGATTGTTATTTAAAAAAACAACAACCATCAATGTGCAAATACTGAAAGAAACGAGCTTGACTCTCCCTCGGTTCTTGCACGTGTGTATGAGTGTATGTCTTAATGGAGGTGGGGTAGGTCTGCACCCTCCCTCCCGCCTCGGGCTGCTTCCTGGGCAGAGAAATAGGAGAAATCTGGGGAGCCTGCGCTTGGCGCTGTTCTTGGTCCCGGGTGCTTATCCGTCCCCAGTCAGAAATCGGCAGCCCCCGAGGGCCCCCGTCCCCTGCCAGGCAGCCCAGGCCCCCCACGTGTAGTGCGAACGCTCCGTTAAGTCAAGATGAGGGCACTGGGCATTAAAACAGGGGAGGGGAGGTTTGCACCCTGTTTTGGAGAGAAAATAGGCTCCCGGACGTTAGCAGGGGTATCATTCTCCTATCTTTGGGGCTGAGGTGGTTGTAAGCCCTGCCCTTGTCTCGCTTCCTTGATCCAGAGGACCTCCTGAAGCTACCGTTCAGTTCATGGGGGAAAACATACAGACACTGGATGGGGGGGGCAACATCCCCTCCCCGCCCTCCCTTATGAGAAGTGGGACTCCCGTCCACCCACACGTCCCATGGCTGCTTTAGCATGAAAAAAAGGAAGGCTGAAGCGCTTCAAGGGTGGCCTCAGGCCTCCGAGACCGGTGAGCGCCTCGGGCTCCTTGCCCTCCTTCCCTTCCCCCTCGTCCAGTGGGGGGGGAGGCTTCTCCCCCACAGGGGCCGAGGTGGCTTTGCAAACAGGCACCCCCAGGACCCTCTCGGCCAGTTGAGCATGGCCAATGTTGGTACATGAGAGGGTCGGGGGGGGGCAGGCATCGTCTGGCGGAGTCCTTTCTGGAGCAGAGCCTTTGCAGGGCCGGGGCGTCTGGCAGCTCCTCCTCCTCCTGCTGTTCTGGCGGGCAGGCGAGGTGGAGGCAGCGCTCACGTGGCTGCTCACTGGGGGGGGGGTCTGCTGCTATCCCAAGAAGGTCACCTTAAAATGCGGCAGAGCCGGGAGGAGGGGAGGGGGGCCTGCGGTGGGCCGCAGGAGGGGAAGCAGGGGAAAGGAGGGAACCAGAGGAGGAAGCCCGGGGGGGGGGGGTCCAAGACACCCAGGCCCGTGGAAGTCTAAGGAGACCAGGCTGGGATCAGAGCCACGAGAGCAGCCCCTCCGGGAAAGCCAAGCCGCCTCACGGACAAAGGCCGCCTCTCCTGTGTCCTCCCTTTCCCTCAGTCGTCGTCCCAGAGCTGGTCTAGGATGATCTGTGGGAGGCTCAAGTGCCCTGGCTGTGCCCACATGGCCAGGGGGAGCATGGAACGGCCGGCCATGGGGGTTGTGTGGCTGTTTGTAGGTCGTTAGCCACTGGCAGGAAACGAGTGATGGCCAGACCCTTCCTTGGCCCTCCCTTTCGGGATTCCTCCCTTCTTTTTCTTCCTCCTCGTGGTTATGTAATGGAATAGCACCACAGCATTGTGGAAAAGCACCAGGAGGGGGAGGAAGACATGCCTGCCTGGCGTGCACTGGTGTGTGTGTGTGTGTGTCCAGGACCATCAGCAGGCCCATCCCTGTGGCAGGAACTCGGTGCACTTGGGTTCTTGCAAAGGTTGGACCCCTTTCAGACCCCTGTTGATGGCACGTTGCCAGAAGGGGTGGCCGGTGCATGGAGTGACAGCTCGGGAGGGGAGAGAGAGGCCACCTTGTTCACTGCCAAAGGCGATGGTGGTGAGGAAGAGCTCAAGAGGAGTTCGGCTGGTGTTGTTTAAGGACCTGCTCATCACCAGCCCCACATGGGAGGCCTTGATCCAAAGCAGCAAAACGGGAGGACTGTGCAGGCCAGAGGCTTGCCATTAACTTTGGAAAAAAGAGCTGCAGAGATGCAGAAGCACCTCATCTGACCAGAAGGAGATGGACTGGGGGGGTGGGGGGGAGAAGCCAGCACTCACGCCTCGGAGCCACCCTTGGGATCTGTGGTGGGAACGCTCAAGAACACTGAGGTTTTGTGGTGTGGAAGCGTCCAGAGATGTTTTTGTTTTATTTCATTTTATTTTTAAAAAATATCTGAATTGGCAGGGACTCCTCTTCCCTGTAAGAGTTTAACTGCCCAGGATCATTAAAGAGGGGGTTTAGGAAGCCATTCTGGATGCCCCCTCTTTCCACAAACGTCCTGCAGCTGAGCTGCCAACCCCGATCTGTGCCCGTAACAAAGCAACAGGATTTCAGCCCATGTGTTTTAACTGATTTTCTTTATTATTTGTTATTTTATAAACTTATTATTTATTATTTCTGTACATCATGCTGAATTTCTCAGATCTAAGTGGCTTATGAAAGTCTGCGAACCCATTGGTGGATAAAGCAGTTGCCACAACAAAGTAAAGTCATCGTCTGAAGGGTGTCCAAGGGAGTCCTGCCTGGAGTGGGAGATGGTGGCGGTCAGGCCCAAATTACTAAGGATGATGGGACATGGGAAGGAAATCCAAAGGGGTGTTGAAAGGCCAGTAACTTGGACTTGCCAGGACGTTGTTTTCAAAAGTTCCAGGATGGAAATTCCATTTGGGAGGAAACAGAATAAATGGGCAGTATTCTCTCTCTCTCTCTCTCTCTCTCTCTCTCTCTCTCTCTCTCTCTCACACACACACACACACACACACACACACACACACACAGAGAGAGAGAGAGAGAGAGAGAGAGCGAGTGCACCGGCTTCAGAGGGCCAGCAAGTGGCAAAGGAGTTGCAGAAGGCCAGGACTTGGCTTATGCCTGGGTTTATTACAGATTCCCACCCCCAGACTCTTCCCCCCCCCCAATATTTTTCACAGACTTG